CACATCAGACTCTGCAACCAACTTCATAGTTGTTCTCAGTTCATCAAGCATTAACCAAGGGTGTGTATGCTAGTTGTGAAAATGGAGTGTATATGTAAATTATGCTTATGCAAGGGGATTATGGTAAATCTCCCTATAGAACAATATGTATGGAGTTTTCCAGTTACATGGGTATTATGGTAATTCTCCTTATGTAATAGTATTACTGTAATTTATGCAAGATTATGTATGGTAATTCTCCCTGTAGTTTGGTAATTCTGCCTACACAAGCATGTGCATGGCAATACTTCCTAAACGATGGTGTATATTATTCATTCTCATATACAAGGGTAAGAATAAAGTTCAACCCCACCAGGACCATACAATGAGTGATAAACACTTGGTGACACAGAGAGCCACCTTTCTGATGTTAATCACCTGGGTGCAAGTCTCAGAAACCCCGTTCAACATTAGGTTATATTAGTGCCGCCGACAACAGCAGCCGGAGTGGGGCTTTAAAATAACACTAAATTGTTTCCCATGTTGGGATGGTATACAAGGATATGTATGGTCCTTCTGCTTAAAAAAGTCTATGAATGGTTATACTCTCTGTACAAGATTGTGTATGGTAATTCTCCCTGTACGAGGCTATCCACATTGTCTACACACGCTGATTATGCTTGCTGAAATACAAGTATAGGAACCGTTCTTTTAAAAGAATGAAAGTTAGTCTCATAATAGTTACTACTACTGGGGTGCTTTCTAGGCCATGACATAGGCTAGCTCTCTTCCTTGTCACTCTGTCCTCAATTGAAAGCTCTCAGAAAGCTGTCTGGTTCTGGTGTGTCTGAGGCTGATTCAGCTGAATAACAAAGTATGACAGTCACACTTAAAAAAGTTAGGTTATGTCTGAAGAATGAAGCAGTATGGCAGCTATGCCAAGCATTATAAACTAAACGCCAAGGCCCATAATTCTCTAGATATCAGAGTTTGCTAATGTAACAACATTGATCAGTTAACCAAGGAATGAAGTCTAGCCAAACAATGATGAGGCTTTTTAAAAATAATTCTCATCATCTCTACACCTCAGTGAAGAGGATGAGAGTGTTGGAGGGAAGAGAGTAAACTTCATGGTGCTGATCTTTTTAGTTAGTTGGTCTTTCCTCTTGAGCATAGGGCAGAGGTCATAGTTCTGCATATCTGGCTGTTCATTGTCACTTAGGTCTTGGATGTTTATTAGGTCCATCCATGGTTGATGGTTCTATGCAGGGTCTCTTTTGGTCTTTCTGTTTTTCTTTCCCTTCAGGCGTCCATTTGAGAGGTTGATGGGGGAGTCTTGTCTTATCCATTCTGATTGCATAGCTGATGTAGCTCCAGAGTTACTTTCTTATAAAATGTGATTCATTATCTTGCTTGGTCTTATTTGCATACTGGATCTGAAATCTGTCCAGTGAAGATTTAGTTTTCTTCTAAGACATTTGTTCTCAGAATTATATAAATTTTTTTTTTCCATCTAGAGCTTCTGTTGCTTTCCAACATTCGCATCCATAAGTTAGCACTGGGGTCACACAAGAGTTAAAGATCTTAAGATTTGTGTGTTTGGTGAATATCTTTAACTTTCAGATGTTTGACAGTTTGTTAAAGGCACTAGATGCCAGTGCGATTCTAGATGATATTTCCGGAATTGAATCTCCTATAAATGCCATCTTACTCCCTAGGTATGTTAAGCTGCTGACTTTTTCAAGAATGTGATTGTTTAGTTTGATGTTTTATGAACTGTTGGTAAGATCAATAACATTTGTGTTTGCTGTTTTAATCTGGAGTCCAGTTTGTCTTGAAACATTTTGGAGAAGGTTTTTTGGTACTCAATTTATAACTTACCTTACCCCTGACGTCACGACTACGTCACGGGAGACATTCCCAATGAATTCTAGGGTTTTCAGGTGGTAGTTTCTCGCGATTTATCTACAGCCAAGTTTAGGGTTAGGGTTAGGGTTAGAATACACTAGATGAACACTCAAAAACTGCACCACACAACAGCACACTTGCACCCCTTGAAATAATGGACTGTCAGGTCAGCTGTGGATTTCCCACGGGAATTTTGTGTTTGGGGTACGTTATAAATTAAGAACCGTTTTATTTTTTTTTAGGATATCTAGAGGCTTTGAACTCAAATTAATTATTACTTGGTTGAAAGATTAATTTGACTGCACATCAAACCATTCAGTCGACAAATTCTGAGACTTTCTCATTTGTATATGCGTACATGCCTGGTAACTTATGGCACCAGAACTGTGTTTACTGCTATCCTTTGTTAGCACCCTGCAGAGCTGTCCTGTAACTTCACCACTCTTGACCTATGCTTACAGTCAGGTCAAGTTTACTTTGGCATAGTCACTAGTTACCTGTTGTCCATGCTGACATCCTGTCACATTGATCTGACCCATTTGTGCTCCATCCTCCAATGCAGCAGCCATCTCAGTGTCTCCATGCCCAGCACACCCAGCTAGGAGTTGACTGGCATGTTAGTTAGTTAGTTAGTTAGTTGAGTTATCATCATTGCACTCCGGACATGTCCATAGGTGCTCAGATCCTCCCCTCAGTATAAACTCCAACGTCCCATGGCTAATAGTACCAGTTCTATGTTGATTAACAAGTCTTCTGACGTGTCTGGTGTGCGTCTCGTTTTTTGCTATGCTGATCTTAATTCCCAAGTCTGCCATTCTGGCGAGTGATGTGGATTCACTGCTACCAAAGTCCTCTATCCTTCCCATTTCTCTGAGGGCATTAATAATATCAGCATGATCCATAGGCTGACCGCCAGTAGTGATAGCGGATCCAGCCAACCTGTCAGCTATTTCATTTCCATCGACGTCTGCTTGTCCTGGAACAAAAATAAAGGTGACTCCACGCACAGTGGACTTCTGTAATGATTCAAGCCATTGACTTCGCACTGAACCTGCCTGAATCCTCCGGATCATACTCATTGAATCACTGAGTATACACACGCGGGTGTATTTTTGTGTTTCGAGCCAGGAAAGCGCTTGCGTGACTGCCATCACCTCCATCGTCATGCTGCTGGTTGTCATGGAGAAGGCGCCGTTGGCTTCTTTCACTGTTCTGCCAGCTGAGCATGCTGTGAATGCCCATGCGCTTCTTCTTTGGCGTATAACGGATCCGTCTGTATAGATTAGTGCATCTGCTTCGTCTGAATTTTCACTGATGAGAGCGTTGACCTCTGCATTAACAGCAACAGGATTCTCTTCTCTACATCGCCTGTTGAGTGTGGCAATACAGGAAAATGTACATATAAACGCCTGAGGCACAGGTATCCACTCTGCACTAGGGGTGATGTCGGTTAGGCTGCATATTTACCTAATAACATCTTCTGCCCGACCTAGCCACGATTTTCCCCTCTTCAGTCTGTCGCCCTTTTCACTAAAAAGTGCTTGATGCAGTGGGTGTTTCTTATCAGCACGTATTTTAAGGTATGCCTGAGCCCTCCAGATCCTGATCCTTTGGTTCATAGGTGGAAAGTCAAATAGATACCTCATTGCTCCACAGGATGTGTCTCTTGTACATCCCAAAATGATGCGCATGGCTTCATTTTGCACCTTTTCAAGTCGTTCAATTTGGGTAGCACTGACAGTGAGGATGGCCAGAGCGTATTCAATGGTGGAAAGGACCAGACCGTAGAATAGAAGTATTAGTAGTCTTTGCTCGATATTGGAAGCAGCCATAATCGTCATTGCAGATAGACCTTTGCGTGCTTTTGTTATCACATGGTCAACCTGTTCCCTAAATGACAAGCTGCGATCGAACCTCACCCCGAGAAACATCATAACGTTGGTCCTGATCAATACATTATCATGCATTTTCACTTCTGGTAAGTCAGACTTGACAATATGATCGTTCAAAGAGAACCATGACACTGATGCCTTCAAAAGATTGACATAGGCATTGGAAACATCACACGAGGCGGCAATTCAATCAAGTTCTTTGTGCATTGTGCTGTCTATCACGCCCTCATCGATAAATCAAAATGTCATCAGCAAATGACAAAGTTCTTTCCTTTCCGTTCAACTGCTGCTCTGTGATCATCACCGTATACACGTTGAATAAGACTGGTAATAGCGGTAATCCCTGGGGCAAGCCTGGACATATTGTTTGCGGTTCTGAGGACCAGTTACCACATCTAAGTACTATCTTTCTCTGGAACAGGACCGCAGCAATCCAGCGGATCAGAATAGGATTTACTTCTAGTTTAACCAGTAATTGCATTAAATATTCATATGGTACTTTATTGTAGATGATTTGTGAATGTCAGCCCTGTATTTATTACTCATTCACTTTCCACAATAGTTCATCTCCTGTCAGTGCATACATCATCCTTATCATGTAGCAGGTTTTTTGTAGAATGTCACTCTTATCACGGTCTGCCTAAAAGAAAATTGTTCCTCCTCTTATGCACTTTCCTACTCAAGGTGTCATCCTGTACCCATCTTTTTGCTGGTCAGCCCCTTCTCCTCTTTCCTGGTACCATGCCACCGCTATTATTTTTCCAATCCACCCTTCCTGTTTGATATGGACAAGATATGTCAGTTTCTGGAAACATGCTGTTTCCTAGGCTTTCTTCTTGATATTCATATATCTTAGGATGTCAGTATTTCTTGTCTTCATTGTCCATGGTATTCTGTGAATCTTTTTTTTTTTTTTTTTTTTTAGCATTTCAGCTCAAAAGCTTCTATTTTCTTCCTGCTTCAGTGCATTCATATTATTGTTTTTTTGGGTGTGTGTATGGGTAAAGTAGGTCTTGTGGACGTTATATAAATTGCATGGTCCATACTGAATCTTACATGTTCATATTTCAGATTGTGATTCATAATAACTGCTGAGCTAGTTCTCTGCCATCTGAGCATCACATCAAACAAAAGTGGCTCAGTCTCCCTCTGTTCACCAACGGAAGTCACTAGACCTAGACCTGTTTCCTTTTGTGTAGCTAAGCGCAGAGTGCTAGCAACATGACAGTGGACCACAACTTCTCGTAAGTAATTACAGAGCAAAGAATATTCATTCCATGGACAGTCAGTGGATTTAGTGTGTTTCTGTTAATATTATAATAAATTAGTTTACTTTTTTCTTCTTACATCTTCAGAAAATATTAAACTCTTTTACATGCTGCCTTTATAAGTTTCAGAACGTTTAAATCATGTAATATTTAATATAATGTAATATATGTGAAAAAAAAAATTATTTTTTATAATATAATATAAAATAACATTTAACAAGTAAAATGGAAGGTATTGAACACCTGTATCTGGAGAGAATGATAGGAGTGTCTACAGGATCTGGGCACCTCTCGAGACTCAGAGAAAAGGCAGGACTAGTAGTTAACGGCCACCATCAATAGTTAACTGCCCCCATCAGTAGTTAACTGCCACCATCAGTAGTTAACTGCCACCATCAGTAGTTAACTGCCACCATCAGTAGTTAACTGCCACCATCAGTAGTTAACTGCCACCATCAATAGTTAACTGCCACCATCAGTAGTTAACTGCCACCATCAGTAGTTAACTGCCACCATCAATAGTTAACTGCCACCATCAGTAGTTAACTGCCACCATCAGTAGTTAACTGCCACCATCAATAGTTAACTGCCACCATCAGTAGTTAACTGCCACCATCAGTAGTTAACTGCCACCATCAGTAGTTAACGGCCGCCATCAGTAGTTAACTGGCCCCCATCAGTAGTTAACTGCCACCATCAGTAGTTAACTGCCACCATTAGTAGTTAAACTGGCCACCATCAGTAGTTAACTGCCCCCATCAGTAGTTAACTGCCACCATCAGTAGTTAACTGCCACCATCAGTAGTTAACTGCCACCATCAATAGTTAACTGCCACCATCAGTAGTTAACTGCCACCATCAGTAGTTAACTGCCACCATCAGTAGTTAACTGCCACCATTAGTAGTTAACTGCCACCATCAGTAGTTAACTGCCACCATCAATAGTTAACTGCCACCATCAGTAGTTAACTGCCACCATCAGTAGTTAACTGCCACCATCAATAGTTAACTGCCACCATCAGTAGTTAACTGCCACCATCAGTAGTTAACTGCCACCATCAGTAGTTAACGGCCGCCATCAGTAGTTAACTGCCACCATCAGTAGTTAACTGCCACCATCAGTAGTTAACTGCCACCATTAGTAGTTAACTGCCACCATCAGTAGTTAACTGCCACCATCAGTAGTTAACTGCCACCATTAGTAGTTAACTGCCACCATCAGTAGTTAACTGCCACCATCAGTAGTTAACTGCCACCATCAGTAGTTAACTGCCCCCATCAGTAGTTAACTGCCACCATCAGTAGTTAACTGCCACCATCAGTAGTTAACTGCCACCATCAGTAGTTAACTGCCACCATCAGTAGTTAACTGCCACCATCAGTAGTTAACTGCCACCATCAGTAGTTAACTGCCACCATCAGTAGTTAACTGCCACCATCAGTAGTTAACTGCCACCATCAGTAGTTAACTGCCACCATCAGTAGTTAACTGCCACCATCATTAGTTAACTGCCACCATCAATAGTTAACTGCCACCATCAATAGTTAACTGCCACCATCAATAGTTAACGGCCACCATCAATAGTTAACGGCCACCATCAGTAGTTAATGGCCCCCATCAGTAGTTAACGGCCACCATCAGTAGTTAACGGCCACCATCAGTAGTTAATGGCCCCCATCAGTAGTTAACGGCCGCCATCAGTAGTTAATGGCCACCATCAGTAGTTAACTGCCCCCATCAGTAGTTAACTGCCCCCATCAGTAGTTAATGGCCACCATCAGTAGTTAATGGCCACCATCAGTAGTTAATGGCCACCATCAGTAGTTAACTGCCCCCATCAGTAGTTAAACACCCCCATCAGTAGTTAACGGCCCCCATCAGTAGTTAACGGCCCCCATCAGTAGTTAACTGCCCCCATCAGTAGTTAATGGCCACCATCAGTAGTTAACTGCCACCATCAGTAGTTAACGGCCGCCATCAGTAGTTAACTGCCACCATCAGTAGTTAACTGCCCCCATCAGTAGTTAACTGCCACCATCAGTAGTTAACAGCCCCCATCAGTAGTTAACAGCCCCCATCAGTAGTTAACTGCCCCCATCAGTAGTTAACTGCCCCCATCAGTAGTTAACTGCCACCATCAGTAGTTAACTGCCACCATCAATAGTTAACTGCCCCCATCAGTAGTTAACTGCCACCATCAGTAGTTAACTGCCACCATCAGTAGTTAACTGCCACCATCAGTAGTTAACTGCCACCATCAGTAGTTAACTGCCACCATCAGTAGTTAACTGCCACCATCAGTAGTTAACGGCCACCATCAGTAGTTAACGGCCACCATCAATAGTTAACTGCCACCATCAATAGTTAACGGCCCCCATCAGTAGTTAACGGCCACCATCAATAGTTAACTGCCACCATCAATAGTTAACTGCCCCCATCAGTAGTTAACTGCCACCATCAGTAGTTAACGGCCCCCATCAGTAGTTAACTGCCACCATCAGTAGTTAACGGCCCCCATCAGTAGTTAACTGCCACCATCAGTAGTTAACTGCCCCCATCAGTAGTTAATGGCCACCATCAGTAGTTAATGGCCACCATCAGTAGTTAACGGCCGCCATCAGTAGTTAACGGCCACCATCAGTAGTTAACGGCCACCATCAGTAGTTAACTGCCGCCATCAGTAGTTAACTGCCACCATCAGTAGTTAACTGCCACCATCAGTAGTTAACGGCCACCATCAGTAGTTAACTGCCACCATCAGTAGTTAACTGCCACCATCAGTAGTTAATGGCCCCCATCAGTAGTTAACTGCCACCATCAGTAGTTAACGGCCACCATCAGTAGTTAACGGCCCCCATCAGTAGTTAACTGCCCCCATCAGTAGTTAATGGCCACCATCAGTAGTTAACTGCCACCATCAGTAGTTAACTGCCACCATCAGTAGTTAACTGCCACCATCAGTAGTTAACTGCCCCCATCAGTAGTTAATGGCCCCCATCAGTAGTTAACTGCCACCATCAGTAGTTAACTGCCACCATCAGTAGTTAATGGCCACCATCAGTAGTTAACTGCCACCATCAGTAGTTAACTGCCACCATCAGTAGTTAACTGCCCCCATCAGTAGTTAACTGCCCCCATCAGTAGTTAACTGCCCCCATCAGTAGTTAACTGCCACCATCAGTAGTTAACGGCCACCATCAGTAGTTAACTGCCACCATCAGTAGTTAACTGCCACCATCAGTAGTTAACTGCCACCATCAGTAGTTAACTGCCACCATCAGTAGTTAACTGCCACCATCAGTAGTTAATGGCTACCATCAGTAGTTAACTGCCACCATCAGTAGTTAACTGCCACCATCAGTAGTTAACTGCCACCATCAGTAGTTAACTGCCACCATCAGTAGTTAACTGCCACCATCAGTAGTTAACTGCCACCATCAGTAGTTAACGGCCACCATCAGTAGTTAATGGCCACCATCAGTAGTTAACTGCCCCCATCAGTAGTTAATGGCCACCATCAGTAGTTAATGGCCACCATCAGTAGTTAATGGCCACCATCAGTAGTTAACTGCCACCATCAGTAGTTAACTGGCCACCATCAGTAGTTAACTGCCCCCATCAGTAGTTAACTGCCCCCATCAGTAGTTAACTGCCACCATCAGTAGTTAACTGCCCCCATCAGTAGTTAACTGCCCCCATCAGTAGTTAACTGCCCCCATCAGTAGTTAACTGCCACCATCAGTAGTTAACTGCCACCATCAGTAGTTAACTGGCCACCACTATAGGAGATATCCTACAACTATCATCAGTGGTAATGACCTCAAGCACGTCCGTGACCTAGGCTTAAATACACACACAAAGCAAACCCGGATCACTGGTGCGGAAGAAGAACCATTAAGAAACATCACCCACTGGTCTATCAAGTATAGGTCTATAGGTGGGGCTGTATGGTCTCGAGGCATGAATTCTGCACCGAATGCTGTAGGTCCTGGGTTCACGCCCCGGAGAAGGCTGGGATTTTTTCACATGGATTTCTAGTAATTTCTAGTAATAAGATCGGACACCCATGTGTATTGTTGCGCATGTAAAAAATCCCTAGGTATTTGGAAATCGAAAAAGATTAGCCTGACGGCACTGCCCAGGCAAAATTTGTAGTTACAAATCTACTGAAAGTATGTCAGGATCCTTGTTGGTGCTACAGAGTTCATGCACCACCCTGAGATTCTTTGGACTCAGGCTTGAGTTGGAAGTAGAACAGAGTTCTTATGTGTTACTACCTTTGTGCTATGATGTTGATCCGTCGTCTAAAAAACTCCCTTCTTTTACCAGTGAAAATCACACCAGATATCCTCTTCTGTTTCATCTGCAAACTAGTGAAAAACATGTCAGCCATAGCAAAATCTTGAAGATTGCACACACAGATTATAAATGCATAGGACAGCTGTCAGATTTGCTGCCAATAATGGTCCCAACAGCTCACTGTGGGTACAGTCAGTCACAAAAGCTGGCACTGCACCCATAAAGTACATGCAGTTCTGAACATAGTCACCTGCTCACCATTTTAGTGCAGTCAACAACACCCCATGGATACAACAGAAAAAAACAAACATTCCACATGAAATTCACAGCTCACAGAGGTACACCAAACACTCCAGCCTAGTAGCTGGGCAATGAAACATTTGGACTCCTGGTTTAAAAATGGACAGTTAGCATCAGTAAAACCTTACTGGAAACAGAAACTTTTCAGTGTCATCAGTTAGCCAGCTATCATCCATTTTTGGCCAGAAGTTCAGACAAGTAGTTATTTGATCTGTGTTTATTATAACATGTAATATATATATATATATATATATATATATATATATATTATATATCTATATATATATATATATATATATATATATATATATATATATAAATATTGGTTCTGTCTAGCCTACTACCTCGGATCATCAATGGCAGTATAGCCGGGATAGTTGGAGTCACTTGTGTGTTCCCTATAGACCTGGTCAAAACCAGGCTGCAGAACCAGCAGCCAGGACCCCAAGGTCAACTCTTGTACAAAAGCTTGTAAGTAGACATGTGGGGTTTTTCCTTTGTTCGCTTTCAAGAAGCATAGTCACACATGTGAAACCAATTTTGTCTCTTTAGTTCAGGTAACATTTACATAATCATTGCTGCATGTTGAGCATGCCATGGATGCTCCATCAGCTTAGTAATCCACATGTAAATATAGAGCAGCTGTCAGTTAGGCAACTGATCATTCTCATTGTTCATCGAAACATTTAGCCCATAAATGCTCAGCTTCTCTCCCTCAGCATGTAGCCGCTGACAATACCAGTTCTGTGTTGGCTTTTTATTATTGTTCCTTGGCTTCCTGTATAGTGCTCTTGTCTGGCCCTGCCCTTTTCCACTTGCTGTTCCTTCAGTCTGGTCATGGTTGCAGATGATTGCAGTCATCCCTTGATTCATCAGATTGCTTACCTCTACTCGAGTATTCAGTATATCAGACTTGTCCATTAGTTATCCACTCTCTACAGTAGTCCGGGCTGTAAGCTTATCAGCTTGTTTGTTTCTTCTTACAGTGGTCTATATTGGACTGACCACCTCACATCCCAGACAGTTATTTGCTACCATTTTGTAAGGCTGGGTTAATCCCCAGAGCTGTATGTGGTTACATCAGCATCCCATTTATCTCTTCTCATTATCTCATCTTTCCTGTGTGGGTTCCAGGACCCATGTGGGGGGGGGGGGGGGTAGATAGACTTGCTTCCTAACAACGTGTCACACAAGGCAACTAATTAGAGATGTTTCCTTCTAAGTTGGAGTGCCTCTGCCTGAGAGGCAGGGAACTAGCAGTCTGCAATCAATAAGCCAGATCTGCTAAATGGGTGTGCATGCAAAACTCAAGCTCTGAAAAAACACCAAAGTCCAGATGGGTATGAACAGCCAGAACTTTCCATTGGAGAGATTGCTAAGAAGACAGAAGATAAATCTAATCTCAGTGGAAGATCCAAACCCAGAACCCATCATGTCTACTGGTGAGTGTGAGTGATCTAGCTACAATGTTACCACATCTCACAATGTTACCACATCTCACATGTTTTTGTGCATCAGCTGTTTTATTTAAATCCATCTACTATTTGTTGACCTCTCTTGCTCGGGGGTTATGAAAACAGTTGCATAATTTCAGCAACTTGGCTTCAGCTATAGCAAAGCAGTCCTAGCCCTGTTTGTGTTGATTTTGCAAATGGTATCAGCTTTGATTAGACACTTTAAGTGACAGACACACTACTGAATGTAAAATTGTCTTATAAAATAACATATAAAGCTAACTTAACATGTATAGGGAAGGGGGTGTGTGTGTGTGGGTGGGGTGGGTGTTTGTGTGTGTGTGAAAGAGAGAGGGAAGAAAGTATCAGAGAGAGAAAGTATAACCTTGTTTAGGAATAGTATACAGTTATGCTAGGACACTGACTTCTCTGATGCTGTTCCCCAGACCAGACTGTGCTGTGAAGACCTTCCGTAATGAGGGATTCTTTGGCATGTACAGAGGTAATTAATGTTTTTATTTTTAAATTATGTTTGTAGCTTCCTTGTAGATAATCACAGGTTGCTTTGTTTATTGTATGATGTTTTAAATTACAGCCATAATGTGTTTGTTGGAAACATATGTGTAGTTGGGTGGACGCATGTCAACAGTCAGCTGCTATTATGTGGCCAAAATCAATGTTTGGTTCAGTGGTGAGGAACTGTCAGTTCGCATGTGTAAGCATTAGCCGGTAACAATTACACTAGAGAGGGTATCACATGATATTGTCCTTGTTGCTTTGCGGTTGAGAGTATTTGCACGCAGCTAACATCGTAATACAATACTAGTAACTTGTAGCTTTCACATGTTACAGTGTCTGCACAAGTGGCTTAAGCATGCAGTGATTGCTCTTTTTGCTATGTTCCAGATGTAAACCGAGTAGGCATTTTTGTAATAATTAGTGACAATGTTTTTTGGGGGTTGAAGGCAATCTAAATTATAAGCGGTGATTACAGCCGTTACATGCATGCCTCATCACTGGTTCGGTTAAAGAATAGGGGAAGACTGCAGTTCAGAAAGTTAAATATTATCAAGAGTTCTCAAACAAGTTATCACAGTTCACACAGATTTCAGGAGGCAGACAGTTCCTTGGGGTAAATGAAAACCATAAACTGATTAGAGAAATTAGGCACAGAAAGTCAAGAAGGTTAGGAAAATATTATAAAAAGGAATATATATATTAAGTCATGATATTGTTCTGAAATATTGTGAGAAGGAATAGACTGAAAAATGTGGTGATAGCTGGCAGACTTGATGGTAAGAGATCAAGGGAAAGATAAAGATGGTCTCTGAGGTGTATACCTTGATGGGTTGATGACATGGATGGGGGAGGACAGCAATACAGACATTATCCTTGATTTTGGTGATCATGTGATATTTTAAACAGCAACCATCTTTGTGTATCTGTCTCTGCCACACGTTAGAAAATGTTCAGTTTCTCCTGCTGCTAGGTGTTAGAACATGTTCTAATTCTGTTTTTTGTCAGATGTTATTATATGGTCTACTCTGTCTCTGTCTGTCTGTCTGTCTGTCTGTCTGTCTGTCTGTCTGTCTGTCTGTCTCTCTCTCTCTCTCTCTCTCTCTCTCTCTCTCTCTCTCTCTCTCTCTCTCTCTATCAATCTCTCTCTCTCTCTCCCCGTCTCTGCTATGCTAGAAAATTTTCTCCGTCTCTTCCTGAAATATATGTTCTACTTCTTTCTCTGCCATGCTAGAATATGTTCTTCTTTCTCTGCCATGTTAGATATATTATTATACTTCTCTCACCCCCATGTTAGAGAATATCTTCCACTTCTCTCACTGCCCTATGTTAGAATGATGCTTCAGTGTTTCTCCTGCTAATTTATGACCAGAACAAGTTGAGTGTCATTAGTGATAATTGTACACATCTGAGTGAAGTATAGTAGCTGAATGGCTAGACACATGCCTGCAAGGCCACATTTTTTGGGTTCACATCTGCATTGCAGTGTTTTTTGTTTGCATAACTGACTTTGAATCTCAGGTCAGTCCAGCCATAAATGAGCACTAGAGCATGTACCAGGAACTAAAGATAGCTAGTGTGATGTTGATTGTATCACCCATCATTTAACAGTACACGACTGGCAACAGGACAGGGCACCACAGAAAGCAGTGTTATACAGGCTTAGTGCTAACCAAGACAGTGGTCAACCACGCCGAAGATGAACTGTGAAAATATCGGTGACACTGAAAAGGACTATATGTAAAGCAAAACATAACCTCTTCCATTGAACCCCTTCCATTGAACCCCTCCTGATGCCTCAAGGCATTCCAGGGGTAGGGAAAAGAAGAAGAGAGAAGAAGACTACCAGTTGGTCTTTGAAAATATGGGTCAAGCACCATATGCCCAAAGCAGCATTGATGATAAAGCGATCTTGTACTTACTGGAGTCATCAGTCTTGGGAGTAGATTAGAGTGTGTTCCTGGGTGTGGGTACACTTGCTGACAGCCATGTTTCTGTGTGCAGGGTCAGGGGTGAATCTTCTGCTCATTACCCCAGAGAAGGTCATCAAGCTGGTGGGGAATGACTTCTTCAGATACCACTTGTCCGCAGCAGAGTGAGTCTTTTGTTTAGTCTTCCTTCTTTTCTTCCTTTTTTTTTCTGTCCACACTTGATATCTTTCTTTCAATCTTTTCTGCTTCTTCACAAACCATGCATTTTCCAAATGTTGTTTCACTCAGCACAGGTTATTTCTTTTATTCCTATATATATTTTTTTTTGCATAGACCTTTTCTTTACCTATACTGTTTCTTTACACAGACTAGACTGTTTTTGTCTTTCTGCATGTTGTGTCTTTATGTTTACTGTTTCTTTCTTTCCACATAATTTTTCTTAATTTCCTCAAACTTTTTTTTTCAATCCACGCACTGTTTCTTTCCACAAATAGTTTCTTACTATTCTCAGACTTTTTCTTTATCTTCACTGGCTATTTGGTATTTTGTTTTCAAATCAGGATTCCTACTTTTTAATAAATTATAGTCTCTTGCAGCTAATTGTTCTTTGTTCACAAAGGTGTATCTCAGTGTGAGATTGTTTAACTAACATCTAACCTACATGAACAGCAAAGTTCTAACAAACTGAAATACTTTGTCACATTCAGTGTCACAGTGGCTTAGATAAAGAACAGAATGGAAGGCATGGTCCCTGCAAGAGGAGGCAGGGGTCGACCAGTATGATGGTGGGCACTAGACATTAAAGACACAGGGTATAAACATGCTTGAGGCAGGGGTCGACCAGCATGATAGTGGGCACCAAACTTGAAAGACACTACGGGTGTAAACATTACTGAGGCAGGAGTCGACCAGTATATGGTGGGCACCAGACATTAAAGACACAGGGTATAAACATGCTTGAGGCAGGGGTCGACCAGTGTGATAGTGGGCACCAAACTTGAAAGACACTACGGGTGTAAACATTACTGAGGCAGGGGTCGACCAGTGTGATGGTGGGCACCAAACTTGAAAGACATTACGGGTGTAAACATTACTGAGGCAGGGGTCGACCAGTGTGATGGTGGGCACCAAACTTGAAAGACACAACGGGTGTAAACATTACTGAGGCAGGGGTCGACCAGTGTGATGGTGGGCACCAAACTTGAAAGACACTACGGGTGTAAACATTACTGAGGCAGGGGTTGACCAGTGTGATGGTGGGCACCAGACTTGAAAGACACTACGGGTGTAAACATTACTGAGGCAGGGTCGACCAGCATGATGATGGGAACCAAACTTTGGTTTGATTTATACAGCAGATCAACATCATGGCACAAGGGTAGTAACCCATGAGTGCTCCGTTCTACTTCTAACTCAAGCCCGAGTCTGAATAATCTTAGTCCAGTACACGAATTCCGTAGCACCAGCGAGGATCCTGAAATACTTTGGGTAGATTTTCATTTCCAAATTTTGCCTGGGCAGTGCCGTTAGGCTACTCTTTTCGATTTCCAGTTGTCGGATTTTTTACGTGCCCAACAATTCACACGGGTGCCCGATCCTACTACCCAGAGACCAGGGGAAATTGCTAAAGTCCACTTGAAAAAATCCTAGCCTTCACCGGGGCATGAATCCGGGACCTCCAGCACTTGAGACATACCAATCAACCCCCGCAGCAAACGTTAAAGACATCAAGGGTATAAACATGCTTGAGGCCTACTACACATACATAAATAATACAGCCTGGTACATAAACATAAATAAGACAGTATGATTATACATACATAAATACTACAGCCTGGTACACAAACATAAGTAAGTCAGTATGGTTATACATACATAAATAATACAGTCTGGTACGCAAACATAAATAAGACAGTATGGTATGCATACATAAATACTACAGCCTGGTACACAAACATAAATAAGACAGTATGGTATACATACATAAATAATACAGTCTGGTACACAAACATAAATAACACAGTATGATATTCATACATAAATAATACAGCCTGGTACGCAAACATAAAAAAGTCAGTAAGGTTATACATACATAAATAATACAGTCTGGTACGCAAACATAAATAATGGTATTCATACATAAATAATACAGCCTGGTACACAAACATAAATAAGACAGTATGGTATACATACATAAATAATACAACATGGAACACTTTACATAAATAAAATAGTATAGTACACATGCATACAGTATAGTTCACATACATAAATAATACAATATAGGACTATTGAGTGTCGAGTACCACTGTGATGTAGCAGTTAGATAGCTCTTTACCTTTACACATGAATGTAAATAATATAGTATAGCACACATGAATGTAAATAATATAGTATAGCACACATGAATGTAAATAATATAGTATAGCACACATAAATGTAAATAATATAGTATAGCACACATGAATGTAAATAATATAGTATAGCACACCTGAATGTAAATAATATAGTATAGCACTCACGAATGTAAATAATAAAGTATAGCACACATGAATGTAGATAATATAGTATAACACACATGAATGTAAATAATATAGTATAGCACACACGAATGTAAATAATATAGTATAACACACATGAATGTAAATAATATAGTATAGCACACATGAATGTAAATAATATAGTATAGCACACATGAATGTAAATAATGTAGTATAGCGTACATGAATGTAAATAATACGAGAAGTACACATTCTTTAACTGTAAACTGATGATTTGTAGAGAAAATTGTCAGTTACGACCATTCTAGAAAGGCTAACGAGGGGAACCAATGATTACAGAAGTCGGATGTGTTGGCCGAAAGGCAGAAATATCGCAGCCATGTTGTAAATGGGCACAACACATTTACATCTTGGGATGAATGCAGAAGAAGAAGATATAAGTTCTAGAGACAAGATATGATGAGTTCTACAGAGAACCATGTCAGATCTGATAGGTTTTAGAGAACCATGTTTTATATGATGAGTTTTAGAGAACCATGTCAGATCTGATAGATTTCAGAGAACTATGTTTGATATGATGGGTTTTAGAGAACCATGTCAGATCTGATAGATTTCAGAAAACTGTGTTTGATATGATGGGTTTTAGAGAACCATGTCAGATCTGATAGGTTTTAGAGAACCATGTCAGATCTGATAGGTTTTAGAGAACCATGTCAGATAAAATGGGTTTTACAGAACTATGTCAAAATATGATAGGTTTTAAAGAACCATGTCAGATATGATGGGTTTTAGAGAACCATGTCAGATATGATGGGTTTTAGAGAACTATGTCAGATATGATGGGTTTTAGAGAACCATGTCAGATATTATGGGTTTTAGAGAACCATGTCAGATATGATAGGTTTTAGAGAACTATGTTTGATATGATGGGTTTTAGAGAACCATGTCAGATATGATGGGTTTTAGAGAACCATGTCAGATATGATAGGTTTTAGAGAACCATGTCAGATCTGATAGATTTTAGAGAACTGTGTTTGATATGATAGGTTTTAGAGAACTATGTTTGATATGATGGGTTTTAGAGAACTATGTTTGATATGATGGGTTTTAGAGAACTATGTTTGATATGATGGGTTTTAGAGAACTATGTTTGATATGATGGGTTTTAGAGAACCATGTCAGATATGATGGGTTTTAGAGAACCATGTCAGATATGATAGGTTTTAGAGAACCATGTCAGATCTGATAGATTTTAGAGAACTGTGTTTGATATGATGGGTTTTAGAGAACTATGTTTGATATGATGGGTTTTAGAGAACCATGTCAGATATGATGGGTTTTAGAGAACTGTGTTTGATATGATGGGTTTTAGAGAACCATGTCAGATCTGATAGGTTTTAGAGAACCATGTCAGATATGATGGGTTTTAGAGAACCATGTCAGATCTTATAGGTTTTAGAAAACTATGTCAGATATGATAGGTTTTAGAGAAACATGTCAGATATTATGAGTTTTAGAGAACCATGTCAGATATGATAGATTTCAGAGAACCATGTCAGATATGACGGGTTTTAGAGAACTATGTCAGATATGATAGGTTTTAGAGAACCATGTCAGATATGATGAGTTTTAGAGAACCATGTCAGATATGATAGGTTTTAGAGAACTATGTTTCATATGATGAGTTTTAGAGAAATATGTCAGATCTAATAGGTTTTAGAGAACCATGTCAGATCTGATAGGTTTTAGAGAACCATGTCAGATCTGATAGATTTCAGAGAACTATGTTTGATATGATGGGTTTTAGAGAACCATGTCAGATCTGATAGGTTTTAGAGAACCATGTCAGATCTGATAGGTTTTAGAGAACCATGTCAGATCTGATAGGTTTTAGAGAACCATGTCAGATCTGACAAGTTGTAGAGAGCTATGTCAGATTTGACGGGTTCTACAGAAGCATGTTAGATATTATAAGTTCTAGAGGACCCTGTTTGACATGACAAATTTTAGAGAATCATGTCAGAGAAGACAAGTTCTAGAAAACCATGTCAGACCTTATGAGTTCTAGAGAATCATGCAGATCTGATGAGATGTAGAGAATTTCAGAACCTCATGAGTTTCAAAGAATCTTTCATGTCACGCCTTATGAGTTCTTTGAAACGGTGCTAGTTGTTTTGTCTAATACTTTATTACCAGATATCAAGTGTCTGTCTGTGAGGCTTCCTGAGGTACAGCTATTGTTCTGTCTGTTGCTGCTAGAGCAGTGATGCTCAGACATGCTTTGTTCATTCTTGACCTGCTTCAGCTTATTTCTGATCTTGGTAACACAACTGTAATCATCATTGTTGCTTGTGTGAAGTGAGTTTTCCAAGTTCTACTACTACTGACTTTTTCCATGTGTGAAGTGAATTTTCATGTTGTTACTGACATTGTCTTATGAAGTGAATTTTAATGTTGTTACTGACATGTTTAATTGAAGTGAATTTTCAATTGGTCTTGCTGACTTCATTGTCCACGTGTGAAGTGAATTTTGAAAGTAATTACTGACTTTGATATATGAAGTGAATTTTGAAATCGTCTTACCTCCTAGGTGGGTTCCAGAGTCCTATTGGGGCAGTTTTCGGGGGGTGGGGGGGGGGGGGGGGGGGTGGAATAGAGATTTACTACTTCCCTAACAAACATGTCATAAAATATGATGAATTAGGGATTTTCAACTAAAGTCAGAGCTCATCTGTCTCTGAGTAGCAAGATACCAGCATTCTGCTTACAAGTAAGCCGGTTCAGTAAAATGGAAGTTCTAGAACAAGACTGAAGTCCTGAAGTGGATGAACAGCCAGAACTTTTCCAGGAGTTTACAGCTGGTGAACTTGAAAGAAAAAAATAAACATGCATGAATAAATAACTGTATACCTTAACTCATTAAACACACTGCCAGAGGCTCATCATCATTTATCTTTGTTCCTGGTAATACTGGTGTTCTGGGCCACGAGAATACAGATTATCTGGCAGACACTGTGATTACTGTGACTGGTCCAAAGGCATAATGCTGATGTGCTAGGGATTAAAACAGAATTGGCCTTTGCTTCCAGGCCAGTCCAGCCTAAAATGAGTTCCAGGAAGTATTATAGGCAGTAAATTTGGCCATCGCATCCCTCTGACAACATCAGGCATCGAGTGCTACTTGGTCTATAAAAATATGAGGTTAATGCTGTATACCAAGAAGGCCTCACGGCCAAGTTTTACTTACTAACACTGTGCTGTCTGCATCTCGTAAGTTTGGTTCTTGGACATGTAATAATAGGAAAGGACAAGACATTTTTTTTTAAAAACAATTACAGTTGGCTGAAAAAAACAATATTTAACAGTTTTAAAAAGATAATTAACATCTGAAACTTTGTCCTACAGTTGTGGTTTTATATGTTTCAGCCACAGCTGTGTTTGTATCTGTCTGACTTACAGCTGTGATTTTATGTGTGTGAGCCGCAGCTGTGTTTATATCTGTCTAGCCTACAGCTGTGTTTGTATCTGTCTATTTTATATCTATGTGTGTATGCATCTGGCCTAGAGCGTGTTTGTGTTTATACCAACCCACAGCCTTTATGCCTGTCTAGCCTACAGCTGTGTTTCTCTCTAGCCTGCGGCAGTGTTTCTGGCTGTATCACCTAGTCTAAGCTTGTATTTATGTCTATATAAGTCTGCTTGGAAAACACATTATTGCCTTTATGGCGTATACTTCCCTTCAACATCACTAATATATTTGAATGGGCATTAAAATTTAGTATCAGTGCAATTGCAGGAGTTGGCAGAATGGTGTTGGGAGCCACATTGTCTAATTGATAGCTGTGTTTATGTTTGCCTGTTCTACAGCTATGTTTATGTTTGCCTGCTCTGCAGCTATGTTTATGTTTGCCTGCTCTACAGCAGTGTTTATATATATATATATATCTAGTTTAAACTATGTTTATGCCTACTCTATAGTTGTGTTTATATATGCCTAGTGTAAAGCCATGTTTATGCTTAGTGTACATCTGTTTATATATGCCTAGTTTACGGCCGTGTTTATGCCTAGTCTACGGCTGTGTTTAAATAGGCGTAGTTTACAGCCATGTTTATGCCTAGTCTACAGCTACAGTTTATTAGTGCCTAGTTTACAGCCATGTTTATGCCTCCTCTACAGCTGTGTTTATGCCTCCTCTACAGCTGTGTTTATGCCTCCTACAGCTGTGTTTATATATGCCTAGTTTACAGCCATGTTTATGCCTAGTCTACAGCTGTGTTTATATGTGCCTAGTTTACAGCCATGTTTATGCCTAGTGTATAGTTGTTTATATGTGTGCCTAGTTTACAGCCATGTTTATGACAACTCTACAGCTGTGTTTATGACAACTCTACAGCTGTGTTTATCTTTGCCTAGCTTGCAACTATGTTTTTAAACGACCAACCTATGCCTGTGTTTACATGTACCGCACATTTCTGCAGTGGTAGCCTGTCTCTGATCCGAGAAGTTGCTGCTGGAGCCTCAGCCGGGATGTGTCAGATTGTCATCACAACCCCCATGGAGCTTCTCAAGATCCAGCTTCAGGATGCTGGACGAAGTGGTAAGCATTCTGTGGTGATGCATTGTGTTCTGGCCCAGGCATGTTATGGGGAAAGATCATTTAATGTTTGAACCCTGTAGAAGTGGGGACTTATTCACCTCACAGAGTGCTAGATACAACACAAATTGTGGCTATAACGCTGACACTGTATCCAACCATATAAACAGCCAGGTCAACATGAAAACAAAAATGTAGAACAAGAGAAAATATGGACACAAAGGCCTATATTACAGAACAAAACAAATTAGGTGCTGAAAAAAAAAAAGAAGAGAAATATGCACAAATAATAATTTAAAAAAATATTAAATAATGATAAGCTGACTGTTAACTCAATCTGAAATTCATGTGTTTTGTTGTGTTTCCCTGGCATCGTTGCTTGATCCCTGAGTGTGTGCTTCATGCAGGGCTTTTAGCAGGGGGTAAGCTGCTTTGCAGAAAGAGGCCAGACCTTATTGGATAAATTCCAGTACAGCAAAGTCAGCCATCTCACTTTTCTACACAGGTTTTTTTTTTTTTTTTTTTAACTGATTTTTGGACCCCCATGAAGGTGGCAAAATATTGTTCAGCTCAGTACAAGTACTTTCATTACACTGCACACGTGCAAAGTATCTCCAGTCATATCTGTAATAAATTCATCAGCGTACAGCCACTAACTGTAAAAATTTGGTGTCCACATGTCTGCTGCTGTGCTTGGAGAACTAAAAATACATAAATTCTGCAGTGAGCACCTTGAAAAATGCAGAAATTCATTAAAAGGCAACTTCTGAGTTAAAGCATATAAATGCTAATATAGGCGGTTTAGTTTCTAACTTAAAGTACACAGAGATCCCATTGAAAGACATCTTCTAAATAAAAGCATATAAATCCTAATAAAGGTGGATTTCAACTATAAGTAAAGAAATCCCATGAAAGGCAACTTCTAAATAAAAGCATATAAATCCTAATAAAGGTGGATTTCAACTATGAGTAAAGAAATCCCATGAAAGGCATCTTCTGAATAAAAGCATATAAATCCTAATAAAGGTGTTACGCCGGCTGTCTAAAGAAATCCCAGGACAGCAACATCCTGGGAAAAGCATATAAGGCCTAATAAAGGTGGACCTGCAACGCCCCATACCCTGATAAAAATCCACACAGAAAGGCAACTTCTCGAATCACGGTACGTTGGATTGATCCTAATAAAGGTGGATTTCAACTATTAGTAAAGAAATCCCATGAAAGGCAACTTCTAAATAAAAGCATATAAATCCTAATAAAGGCAGTTTCTAACTTAAAGTACAGAAATCCCATTAAAAGACAACTTTTAAGTCATCATTATGATCAAGTGTCTTGTCGACTGGTGTGGATGCTCATGCCTTTCCACAGTCTGAGATCTGCATCTGCGTGTATCAGTTCGTGTGTTGACACCAATCCATGCTATGACACAAGACTGTCAAGACTGTTCTCACACTGTCTTTCTCTGTCTCTCTTTACACAAATCTTTCCATTGGTTGCAACTTGTTGCCATTTTTTCCTTTTTTTAATTACCTGTGGATAAATCCCAGTAAACATATATAGTCTAAAGTCATGGAAACAAAAGTATTTATTGTTCAAATCCACAATGTTGTTTGCTTGCAGCCACCGTCGACCTGACTGCGGAAGCTGGTAAAGCTAATCCCGTTGTGGCAGCTGTTGTCAAACCCCAGCGACTCTCGGCCACCAGGATCACCCTTGACCTCCTGAAGACCAGGGGCATCATGGGATTGTACCAAGGCTGCGGAGCCACAGCTCTCAGAGACGTCACATTTTCTGCTGTCTACTTCCCTTTGTTTGCCAATCTGAACAAATTAGTGAGTATTGCCTGTGATGGGTAATTTTTAGTTCACTGGATTTGTTTATGACCACATATATCTCCAGTGGCTCTTCCCAGGGATCTAAGAATCGGGTACAGTAGGGAGCAAATGGCTTACAGACAGTTTGTCACACAGACCAGACAGAGACAGACAGACAGAGACAGACAGAGAGACAGAGACAGACAGACAGAGACAGACAGAGAGACAGAGACAGACAGAGACAGAGACAGACAGAGAGACAGAGACAGACAGTCTGTAGAGACCAGACACAGACAGACACAGACAGACAGACATGACAGAGACTTCCTCTTGACTTTAGACAGACATACAGACAGACAAATACATACAAACAGACATACACATGACACACACAGACAGACATACATGGCAGCACACATACAAAGAGACAATGCATACATGTCTACATACAGAGACAGACAGACAGACACAGACAGACAGATACAGACAGACACAGACACAGACAGACAGACACAGACATACAGACAGACACAGACATACAGACATACATACATACAGACAGACAGACAGACAGACAGACACAGACAGACAGACAGACAGACAGACAGACAGACAGACAGACAGACAGACAGACAGACAGACAGACAGACAGACACACACAGACAGACAGACAGACAGACGGACACATACAGACAGACAGACAGACAGACAGACATACAGACATACATACAGTCAGCCTACATAACAGACGCATGCATGCAAGAAGAAAAAGAAAACAAAAGAAAAAAGAAGAAGAAGACAGTGAATAGTTGCATGCTGAGTGTAAAATAAAAGTGTATTTAATTAATGTAAACTAGATCACCTTGATTAACTGTTGTATTTTTTTGAATGTCTTGTAGGGGAAGCGCAGAGAGGGAAGTGACCAGGCCGTGTTCTATCATTCTTTCATCTCTGGTTGTGCTGCCGGCTGCACTGCTTCATTTCTGGTGACACCTTTTGATGGTAAGATTTTTTTGTTGTTTCATGCATGTTTTTTGGTTCCCTGTGTTTCTCAGGGCCCCATTGGGGTTAAGGGGGGGGGGGGGATAGACCCAGTGCTCTAATAAGCATGTCGTAAGAGTCAACTAATTAAGAGTGTTTCCTCTGAAGACAGGGTGCATCTTCCTGAGGGGGAGGGAACCAACAGTCTGTATACAAATAAGCAAGATCTGTAAAACAAATATGCACACAAAACACAGGTTCAGGAACAAGACTTAAGTCCAGAAGTGGATGAACAACCAGAACCTTCTTCCAGAGTTTACAGCCTGTGAACACAAAAGAATACATGTTATTTTATCATGTTCTCTGTGTCATATATGTTACTTCCCATTTGGGTTCGGGTCCCCACTGTGGGGAAAACAAGAATAGACCCACTGCCTGCCCAAAAGCATGTCGTAAGTCGACTAAATGGGATTTTCTTGGAAGGTGGATTACATTTTCCTGAGAGGCAAGGAACCAACAGTCAAGCACGCAGATGAGTTAGACTTGTGAAACAGATGTGCACACAACACTCAGTTTCTAGAACAGGGCTAGAGTCCAGAAGTGGGCGAACAACGAGAACTTTCTTCCAGGTGAATGCAAAGAAGAAGAAGAAGAAGATATATTTTTTACTTTAAACATGTTCTCTTGTTCTTCATGTGTGTTATTTTTGCACATATTCTATTGGGTTTTTATGTATGTTACTTTACTAGTTTCATACGTGTACATTTATGAGGGAAAGTCACTAAGTCACAAATGGTTTTTAAAAAAAAAAAAAAACAACTAGAGACGAGAACTACTTGAAAGCCATGTATTTTTACACATACACTGTTCCTTTGTTTTTCAACATAATTTCCACCAACATTGATGCAATTGTCCCATCGTTTTATCAGTCCTACCAAAACTGATGCATAGATCTGTGTGCTCTGATTTATAAACCAAATTTCCACCAACTTCTGCAATTTCCCATCGTATCAACATAATTTCCACCAACATTGATGCAATTGTCATTGGAGTCCAGAAAGGTAGAAAATCACTAGGATTTATAAACCAGATTTAAACTTCTGCATAATTTGCGCACTGTCTTTCGCCAAGGTGGGTTTTCAGTGGACCAGAAAAGTGAAAATCACTAGGGGCTAAGTCACAGCTGTAAGGTGGATGTTACAGAAGTTGCCACCCTAAGTAGTTTGGCATTGTCATGAAGGAGCAGGCCTAGAACGTTTCTTTGAATGGCATCATAAAGCATCGTTAGAACTTGACAGTTTGAATCAGCATTCACATTGTCACTTTTTTTTTTTTTAATTTGGTTTAAAGCACTCCTTGACAATCCCAGAAACACTGTCAGCCTAACCTTCCCTGCTGATGGCATAACCTTGAATTTTTGAACACAAAGCGAAGAAGGATGTTTTTATTGCATTGAAGCATGCTTTGATTCGGGCTGGTATTGATGCACCCAGGATTCCTCCCCAGTAATAATCCTATTTCTTCTTCTTCATTTGCGTATCTGCAGAGATGCTGCAAGGACAGGCCTAATCAGTTCATTTTGTGTTTTTCTGTCAGTTGTCTGGATACCCACCTTGAGCACTCTTTCTTAAATTTCAATCGATCATGTGTTATGTTGTATGCGGAACCATGTGAGCACCCTATTGCAGTAAATACAGAGTCCGCTGTTACTCAGCTGTCACGTCTGATCATCTCCTCCACCCACTGCACGCATGCCTCTGTTGCAGTCTCAACAGGACGACCAGATCGAACTTCATCAACAAAATTAGAGCGGCGTTAGGAACAATTTTTTAACAGAGCTATGCACCATTTTATGGGATAAAAATTTGTCAGCATAAGCAGGAAACATATCCTTATAAATGTCCTTTGCAGGCAGCCCTTTTGCCCTAAATAACCACACAGCAGCACATTTTTCTTTGCAGGTACACTCCGTAAGTACAAGCGCCATTTTGTTTTTGTGTTGCGAATGCGCATGCAACACCTAGCGCAACCTAACAATGGAGATATAAAGTTCGATGTTGCTGTCACCTAATAACACATTTAGGAGCCGCCAGCTACATTTTCCTACCATCCTCTAACCATTTGTGACTTACTTATTGACTTCCCCTTGTACATGCTTCATACTTGTAACTTCACTTATGTTGCATTTTGCTTCAAACATGTGCCAACTACCAGACACCAGTTGAGATGAGACAGGAATGGAGGGTATGGCAAGGCTGAGAGGTTTGCCGGGCCAGTTTTTGGCTGGACCTGTTTCCAAAAATCATTTAATTTATCGCTTCCCTATCGACTCTTGGGTAACCTAGTCTTCTCAGATAAATTTGAAACCTTGACAAAGTCTTTATGAAATCTCTATTTATCTTGGCAGTATTCTCTTGCAAGTAATTATCATGACAATTTTTCAGTTGTAAAGACCCGGCTGCAAACCCTGAGCAAAGGAAAAGGAGAACGCACTTACACTGGCATCATTGACTGCTTTTCGTGAGTTTTTTTAATTTTATATGTCTTTTTACTTTCATTTACTATAGTTTAATGAAGATGTTTGAATAGTCTTAATCAGGACCTTTTTCCACATCTTCAGGCATAGTGGGCAAATAGAGTGAGACCAACATTTGGAACAGTTGGCACTTGGTTGGTGATGTGGTGAACATCACACCAGGTCACCTTTACTTCCCAGAACTTTTTTTGATGCCCACTCAAGGTTGGGTCGACCTGGTAGCCAAGGTCGTATTTGAAAAAAGTCCCACGACCTTCCTATCCGCAGGTGAGCTTCAAGTCGCTACATCACAGCAATTCTCCAGTCTTAATTAGGTTTCCCAGTTAACTAATAAATAAATCTAGTTAACTAAGACCTGCAGATACCTCTTATTTTCAGAGGTCTGCCGAGGGCCCAATACTTCCTAATTAATAGAATCTAAGAATAAAAAATAAAAATAAAAAGGATTGTATTCTACAGTTGATTTCTTTATTAATTTCACAACCCTTATAAATTTGCTTCTTAGACTACCAAATGGGAAAAACTGATCTACAAGATAGTGTTAGTGTGTTTCTGTTATTAACACTGTGTTTATTTCCGTGTATTAAGATATATGTTTGTGTCTACATATGTGAGATATTTTTCTTTATATCAACATTCTGTTGAGATATTTATATCTACATACTATTGAGATATTAGTTCTACATTCATACATCTTATTATCTGTTTATACCTATCTTCAGTTTTGGGACTAGTTGTTTATGTTATGTGTGGAGCCACTTTGGGCCCAGTGACTAGCACTGTTACCTGCCAGCCCAGGGCTCATCTGTTTAGATTTGCTTCAAGCTAAGTATTTTTTTTTATTGATCTAGTCTTTTAGGTCGACCTAGCCAAAAATAAGTACCAGGAGATGTAAAGATGTATTACCACATCATCCGTGGTGTAGATAAAAAGGCAGCCTTGTGTGATATTGACCAGATCATCTATGATGTAAAAAGATCAAACCGCCCGAGAAGTACAACTAGTCAGCTTCATATTATCAGAATCACGAATAGCAAATAAATGTTGAGGCTATGAAGCCTTCATCAGAATATAAATAAAAATTAACTAGGATACATTTACACACACAAACATTTACAAAATCACTAATCTCTGAGTAAAGGTCTCACCTAGAAACATATCTTGACAGTAGAAACCCCGACTCATGTGTGAGACAGGAAGTTTGTGTATGGCAAGAGGAGATTTAGCAAGTTATTTCAAGGGCTGTAACTAACAAATTTTGCCTATACTGGTGAAAACAAAGGCAGCTGGTGTGGTATTGACCATATCAGCCATTGTGCACCAATTAATCTAACGATACAGGGATGCGACAATATATCCATACACTTATGGCATGCCAACAGGTGGTTTGCTTACTGTATTGTGTTGGGACAGTGTTCTGAATGTTTTATTATTGAAACATTCATTTTAGTCTGGCTTTGTTTTTGGAAATGTTCATTTCAGTCTGTGCTTTGTTTGATATCTTGTGGCTTTTGTCTCTGTGATATCTCTGTCCTCATGGAGTTCAGACACTGAGGATTTATTGCTTTACTTATTGTGTCAAGACACCTGTCTCCATCTGTGTTGTGTCAAGACACGGAAGCATTTATCGCCGTCCATTTGCATTCATACTTTGAGACATTTTTAGTGTGTCAAGTCTCTATCCATGTTTTGTTGAGACACTGAGACATTTTTGTCAAGTCTTTGTCCATGTCTCTGTGGCTAAGTCGATGTGAATGCTTTGTAATGCCGGGATGCCAGCTGCAGGCAATGCGCCTTGTGTTGGTTTCCACAGTGGTATCAAGAAAACCGACCGTCCAGAAAGCAACAGCAAACTACTGGAGGTAAATTTGCCTAGAAAAACCACACAACAGCCAGGGGCTGTTGGGGTCGGTTCTGCAACGTCCTGTAAAGGATAGGCAACTAACCTTTGTCCATGTTGTGTCAAGACACTGAGACATTTGTTTGTCAAGTCTCTATCCATGTTATATCAAACATTGAGACATTTTTTTGTCAAGTCTCTGTTCTTGTTGCGTCAAAACTTTGAAATATTTATCTATGTGCATGTTGTGTCAAGACACTGAGACATCCATTTCTCTCTACCAGGAGTGTGTTGAAGAATGAAGGTCCTAAAGCCCTCCTCAAAGGTGCCTTCTGCCGTATGCTGGTGATTGCTCCACTCTTTGGCATTGCACAGACGGTCTACTATCTGGGAGTAGCTGAGTTCTTACTAGGACTGCATAAACCATAATCTTCATCGTATGCTGCACCATTATCAGCAAGATCCATGATAATACATATGACATTAGTGTTAGTATATAGATACGACACAAGTGGTAAAGAATATAACAATAGTAATGTACATGTGGGAGCAGTAAAACAGTTTAAACCGCTTAAGGTCATTTCAGATGTAGCAAATTTATGTTATTAAAAACAGTTTGTTTATCTCCAGGAGCAATGGCAATACATACGACAGCACTGATAATAAAGATGGCAGGAGCAATAATACATATGACAGCACTGATAATAACGATGACAGGAGCAATAATACATATGACAGCACTGATAATAAAGATGACAGCACTGATAATAAAGATGACAGGAGCAATAATACATATGACAGCACTGATAATAAAGATGACAGGAGCAATAATACATATGACAGCACTGATAATAAAGATGACAGCACTGATAATAAAGGTGACAGGAGCAATAATACATATGACAGCACTGATAATAAAAAGGACAGGAGCAATAATACATATGACAGCACTGATAATAAAGATGACAGGAGCAATAATACATATGACAGCACTGATAATAAAGATGACAGGCGTAATAATACATATGACAGTAATAACAATAATAATATACACAACAAAAATAATAATTCTTACAGGAGCAATGGTAGTACATATGACAGCAGTCATAAACAGATGACATCAGTCATAAACAGATGACAGCAGTCATAAACAGATGACAGCAGTTATAAACATGTGACAGCAGTGATAAACAGATGACAGCAGTGATAAACAAATAGTAGCAGTGATAAACAGATGACAGCAGTGATAAACAAATGATAGCAGTGATAAACAGATGACAGCAGTGATAAAAAAATGATAGCAGTGATAATATAGATGACTGACCAAATAATGTGTGTGCCGACACCGACCAAATGTGTGTTTTGAAATACAACAGAATCTGTGTGTCCAGATATGACAAAACCTATATAGTGAAGATCAGTCATTGATTTTATGCTGAAATATGATCACTGAAACTTGTGTGCATTATTTTTTTTTTTAACTTGATAGATACATCTTTAGGTAGGTGCTTGTTTATCATTACATAAAGCCAGCAAAGCAATTAGAATCTTCTGTATGATTTGAAACCATTTTTGTATTATATAATGTGCAGATTCTTTCAAGATTAATTTAATGGTAAAATTACTTGAGTAAATGAATATGAGTAAAAATGTAAGTGTGAATGAATATTACATTTTAGAAACACACTCATGAAGTGTCTGTAGTGTAGAAATAATACACTATTTGAATATTGTATAGAAATAAATACATAATTTGATTATAAAATATAAATAAATACATTATTTGAATAGTATATAGAAATGTAAAAATAAACACATTATTTTAACATTGTGTAACAAAAAAAAAAAAAACATTATTTCAACATTGTGTAACTTATAAATAAATAAATACATTATTGAATAGTGTACAGAAGTGTAGAAATAAATACATTATTGAATAGTGTACAGAAATGTAGAAATAAATAAATTATTTGAAAATAATATCAGAAAAAAGGAGAGGAGGAAGACCCAGAAAATCTGGTTCCAAAATGTGGCAGTCTAGGTGGGCCTCATACATTCAAACATCAACTCATTTAAAGTGATATCTGGAATGGAAAGACCTGATAAAACAACCAACAATGACCGAACACAATGTTATGAATGTATGCTACAGTATTGATAGAAAGATACAACTAAATACATTTATTGCTTATTAAATTTGCCAATCCTAAATAACAATTACAGTATTTAAAGACATATAAAGACATAGATTAATTGAATAGTGTGCAACAAATAACTAGGTGAGTCATGTAATGGGAGAAATAAATACAATAATAAAATACTTAGTCAAAAAAATTATTATATTTATCCATGTATAGCCCTCACGCATGTGTTGACCGCACCCAGTTTCTGGGACAGTTGACAGACCAAAATCGAAACAGTAGTACCTCTAAGCAGTGAAAGATGGGCCGCGTAAGAGCAATTTACAGTTAAATGCAAGAAAATAGAGACCAAGCAGCTGGGAGGAAGTTCAATGTGGAGGAGAGAAATATTCAAAGATATATTGGAATGAAAGATGCTCTTGAATAAACATTCTAAAGTCGACAATCGTTTCATGGCAAGAAGGCAAAATACCTGGAAGTAGAAACAAATCCGCTAGAATCTGTAAAGAAAATACAGGCAGATGGATTTTCTATGTTCTTGGGAATGTTACAGTTTGAAGCATGTCGGTTATCAGACATGGGAATTCCTCAGAGTGAATTTAAAGCCATTTTTCATTTTTCACCTCAGGTGGAAGAATGGATAGAGAAATCAACATACGATTTGCGAAAGCAAATCAGGTTATAGGATGATTAACACTGCTTCTGACGCATAGAATGATACCTATGTCAACCAAAGCAAATCTCATAAGAACGGTATTTTGGCCCACATTGTGTTACCAGTGCCAAACATGGACCATTACTACAACCAAAAAGTGGAAGATCATAACAACAGAGATGAGATGTCTTAGGAGAGCTGCCGGTGTGACAAGAAGAGATAAAATCAGGAATGAAGAAATTAGAAGAAGGCTAGGACTGAAATCAGTCATACAATACATTAAAGAACAACAAATGAGATGGTTTGGCCACCTCATGAGAATGCCCTAGTACCAAGTGCCACAGACAGCCATACTGAAGAAATATAATGAAACACAGAGCAAGGAGAAGACCACACAAGACATGGAGCAACATCATCAAGAGCAACCTAACAGAAATGAACACCAGCTTGTACAATCCATTGGGAAAAGCTCACAAACGATCCTTACAGTCTCTCCACCCCCCCCCCCCCCCCCCCCATAACCCCCACTTTTCCCTCCCCAACATCTCGCTGAGGTAAATGGTGGAGGAGAAGAAGAAGAATAAGGAGAATTTAAAGCTAGTTATGGCTGGGTAAGGCGCTGTATGACATGAAATGACCATGTGATTCAGTGGCGGATACTAATAATGCGACTTCCCTTACATCTACCAGATCGTTAATTATCAAATTGTGTACAAGGGACATTTAGGCTTGATGTCTCGAATATAAGCTGCACCAAATTTTTTATCAATCATTTTCAGCTAAAATACTGTGGCCTATACAAGCTTAAAAAGGGTAACCATTAGTAACTAATTTTCAATGTATTGTCGGTATCGTAATGATAAAATGAACTTAGCAGATGTTTATTTTAATGCTTAATAATGTCTTTTCACTTGTCTATCCCGGTTTTATTTCCTGTTGTGTATTATAACCACCGGAGGAACTCTGTGTTATCCACAGGGTTGATATTGTGTATTACACTAGGCTAGACTCTGTATTTCACTGGGGGTGACACTGCATTCTAGTACAGGGAACGGATTTGTGACTGAAACTTATCTTGTTACTTATAGAATTCATGTATTTTTTTTATCTGTGAAAGTTAGAATTGTTATTTCATTCCCTCTCATTTTCACAAGGAGGTCCATGGCATTTGTTAAGATTCATATTTTCAGTTCATAAATAATTCTCATTGCAGCACTTATCCTCTGTAAATAAGGGTTCATAAGGGATGTCTGTAGAGAAAGAATTTCTTATTTTTACATTTTTTTAACACCATATTATTTAACTTTGAACAAGAAGATGCAAACAACAGACTGCACAATTTATTGCCAGGTATATTTTACTGTATTTTGTCAGATGCATACTACGGAATTAAACAAGATGAAGCACGTAAATGAATCCTTCCAGCAAAAATGGAAACATACACCATACTCAAATATAACTGACTGTTTTACCAGGGTAAATGCAAATTTGCAACTGTATCCTTTTGTTTACACAAGACTGGATGAGAATGGCCATATTGTTTCTATTTCAGTTGAAGGAATTCATTTATATTCTGACTGACTGACTTTCTACCCCACCAGGACATCACACAAGCCCGATGACACAAATACCTGTGGATCAGTCCCAGAAACCGCGTTTAGACATATATGTATGGCCTGCACGGTCCCTGACGAGATTCAAATGAGGAAAAATTTCAAAAGTTGAAAGTTACAATATTTACCTGGCAATAGTAATTATACAATAAATGTTTATGTTTTTTGGGGGCCATCTTTATTTTAGTTTACAGTAGGGGCACATCACTTAGAATTTTTAATAGAAGCTAGGACATATTTTAAATGAATTCAGTATGTTTCCCTTTGTGCCCCCAAAAATAATTATCAGTAACCCATTGCTATATACTTGTGATAGAAGGATGAATAATCTTAGAGTAGATGTTAGATTTTTATACACTGTGTGAATCGTTACCTGGAAGTGAATGATCTTAGAGTAGATGTTACATCTTGTGTGAATTTACAAGAAGTTGAATTATCTTAGAGTGTGAGTTTATATTAATGAAGGTACTATGTTTGTTACACCCTGTGTGGATTGTTATAGATTGCCTTATGAGATTGTGTTATTGTTTGTTAACATTGAGAATAATTATTACTATGTAGTAGATTGTTATTGGTGTTTACTCATTCATATGATTGATATGTTGTGATATACTGTCATACTGAAAAAAATGATGCCATAGTTACAAGAATCTGGTACAAATTGATCTGATTTTTGATTGGGAAAGAAGATAGCAGCAAAGAAGTGAAGACATATTAATTCTATGAATTGTTTTTCTACTTCTCTGTGAATATCCCCCCCCCCCCCCCCCCTTTTTTTTTTTAAATTAAAAATATTTCACTGTCAAAAGGTCATCCTTGGGTTTTATGAACACAGGTCATCACCAGGCATCAACTATTTCTGGACTTGTTTGCTCGTTGAAGAGCTAAGATCTTATTCTTCTTGTCACTGGAAAGTTTGGTTATTCATCCACTTCTGGATTTTGGTCTTGTTCCAGAACTTTAATTTATCCGCACATCCATTTTACAGAACTCTATTTGTGTGCAGACTGTTGGTTCCTC